ACGCCGTAATGACTTTGATGATATGCGGCGCCCATGAGAAAGCGTGCTGGGAAGTGCTGACGGGACCAAGTGCATTTTGTGAGAATGCGTTGAGGGCCTGATGACATGCCACCCTGTACGACTGCTGACGGATGCCTGGAGACGAGCTAGACCATTGAAGATACGACACGCGAATGGAGGATGTGCTCAACCCTTGGAGGTGAAGCAGGGAACTTTGGAGATGTACCACACCGTTGGAAATACCCCAGGGCAACGGCTGGACACGCCCGGCTTACCATGGGAGCGTCAGAGGCGAGTTCCGGCATACTTAAGAGGCTAAAGCCTGGTGGGTGTTGCACCCACTTGAAGTATAGTACTTTGCGAGGACTAATTTAGGCGGGTAAGGCACCCTGGGTAACTCAGAACAGTACTCAGGGCTGAGCAGCTGGTATTGAGGGCCTTGGGTAACGCACCCCGCGGCTTGGAAGAGGGTAAGGCACCATAGGTAATTCGGGCCAATACTTAGTAAGGGGCGCTGATATTGGGGGCCTTGGGTAACGCACCCGCCGGCTTGGAAGAGGGTAAGGGACCATAGGTAATTCGGGCCAGTACTTAGTACAGGGCGCTGATATTGAGGGCCTTGGGTAACGCACCAGGCGGCCTGGAAGAGGGTAAGGAACCCTGGGTAACTCCGGACAGTACATTAATAGGCGACAATTGTATTGTGGGGCTTGGGTAACGCACCCGGCGGCTTAGGCAGTGTAAGGAACCCTGGGCAACGTAGAATAGTATATAGACCAGAGCGATCGGTGTGTTAAGACGCAGGTAGCGCACCCAAGGAAAGGTACAATGGTACCTTGTACAAATTTGACGGGACCTTTCATGGAACCCTGGTTACGGTGCCGCACCAGCGGCTTGGGTTTTTAAGGACACACAGCTTTGCTTGTAACGAACAAGAACTACGAACCTTGGGCCCACCTTGCTGTTTTGTGTGTATCCTTCGGGGACTGTACCCCGTTGAGTGGAGAACATGCCGCACTGACACACGCCCATTGTGGGTGCACCTTGCCATCGAGTTCAGCTCGATCAGGCGAGAGTCCATTTTCGTGCGTGACCAGTCCGTTGCCAGAAGATTCGCCATCTAGACGCCATTTCCGCGGTGTTTCGTGGCTCAACGCCACATCAATGTCTAATACTGAACATTTTGCTGGAAGTGGCATGCTCGTAGGACACATTAGCAGGACACCTTACTGCGTAAGCCACTTTCCTTTCTGTTCACTCATCTTGTACTCAGAGGAAATCATGATGATGAACTCAGCAGGCCTTGGAGCAGCAGCTTTGACTTGGATGCGTATGATGCCTTGGATAACATACTGCAGGGACATGGTTGCTTCTGATCCACATTCTTCAATAAATGCTTCTCTTGGGCTAACCTGGGCACAAACAGCCAAGCCAACAAGGTTTTGAAAACAAGCTTGCCACCATGATGCTCCTCGGTTACCATTCTGATCTAGAGTTTTGGCTCACATGCAGCTTGAGCTGTGGAAGACATCGTCAATGGACACTCCATGCCATACAAACAAGTGGTGGCCTTTGGACTCACTCAGCTATGCGTTTGCTCCTCCTCCAATATCTAAACTGCATATACACAGGCATCCATCGTATCAGACACGATACATACAAATGGCAGGTTGCTTTGTGGGAGCCCCTTTGGAAGATCTTGGCACACAGAAAGAGCAAGAGCTTGGTTGGGATCCAAAAGCCAGAAAACAAGAAATGTCCTTGCAGCATCGCTGGTGATCTACAAATCGCCAAGGATTCCATATAGCAACACACAGCAATGGGTATGGCTCTATACCAAGTGCAGATCGACACCATTGGCAAAGCAGATGCCAACACTAGCAATCGCTAGACAGCAGGGTGACTGGTTTCGTTCCACCTATGCTACATGCACATAATGGTATGCAGAAAGGGCATTCCTGGACAGAGAACAGGGTGCAAGGCACGTGGGGTGTGTGGTGGCAGCAGCGGGTAAGGAGCAGCGGGCCGTGAGTATAGGACAGATGTTAACAGAGACCCACCAAAACTGGCTGTGTCTGGTCGTGTCATTCAGAAGACGAAACTAGCTGCTTTGTCTTGTTTTGTTCTCCAAATCTGGTCCATCAGCACCTTACAGGGCACAAACCCATGAACATTGAGGTCAAGGAATGTCCATTGTGCAATGGTGATTTGGATATTGCTGTCCACCAGTGCATCATTTAATACAATTTGAAATGACTTCTTTACAGGAAGGAAAATTGAGACAGCTCTTGCAAAAGACAAACTGCAAGCAAGATTTCCTCTGAGGATGCCAACCATGACAGCAAATGCTTGTGAGTGTCCCCATCCACTGTTCCACTGAACCAGAGGAGCTTAACATGCTGCAGAAGAGCTGGGAATTTGGTTACAGCAATGCAAAAGAGGCTATATTTGCGATTGGACGCCCATTTGAGTCTTAGCTTGTTACGATAGGCCTTGCGCTTTGCCCAACAATGTTCCTCAGCCACGGTCAATGCGCGACGCCGATGGCATCAATCTGGGTCGCTCACCGACTGTGGAGCATTGGCGGAACCAGGACGATCAAAAAAAAACAAAAAACGCTTGCCCCGCCCAGCTTCCCAGCTCGCCTGAGCATTGGCCGCAGCGTCCTGGTCCTGGTGCCACTGCCCAATGCCTACCCGGTCCCCCTGTGGGCACCTGACGCCCATGCTTTGGCCTTGGCCTTGTCGCCTCAGCACGTTTTGGGGGACACGTGCCCGAGTTGGGCAGGGGCGCGGCGGCATCTGCGCGCCGGTGTCGAGATGCGGCGGGCAGCAAGGGTGGGCGGTGGGAGACTGGTAGCGTCGTAAACATGCCCTACGACACAAACCCACCTGCTCCACGTATTCCGCCTAGGCAATAAGGAGGACACGATCCGTGCAAGGAACCCGCGCCGAACGGAGACAAGCACAGTGCCTATCCTAGAGCCGACTGCTTTGTCTAAGCATCCCACACACACTAACACTTACTACAACAGGACTGGCGACGAACACAAGCCTTGCTTCGCTGACGAGAAACGCGGTGACTACTTCACACTCGCAGAGGGATGCTGAAAATAGCTGTGGTGACCAAATTCTTTGCAGCTAGGCAGGAAGCTCGTGACGTGAAAGAAGTCAGCGCGCGATGCTCACATAACAGGGCGGTGGAAAATTTTGACGAGAGAATAATATCCAACAAACTAATTGCATATTCTTGCATCATGTGCAAAAATACAAAATACTTCATTCAAGTTTGCCATGCACTTTATTGCATAGACAACTTACTGCTCAAGAACATTGATGGCAGTGACGGCCAGGGAGTACATGTGAGACTTGGCATTAACTTCAACGGCGAATTTTTATGGAATTGGTCATTTGGCAAGCTTGGCATGGGTCATGCAATTAAGGGTTGGTTATGAATTATTGATTGGAAAGACGCGTGTGGTCGCTTGGGGTACGCCAGGCACTCTGGCCGGTATTGGCAGCCAGGCGTGTTTTGGCAACAGGTATCCAAGCCAACTTCAACCCGTTGGCCAACTGGCTGCTTTTCAACGTGTGCCCTGTTGGAGACTAGGCAAGAATTCCCAACGTTTGGGAGTTTTGTTTACAGCGCCAAGTCTGCCTTCTGATGAGGATTTCTTGGGCGACCGTCTCCCTGCTGATCGATCCCCAATGACCGCCACCTGTTTTGTTCTATTCCCGCGCCCCCTTGTGGCTTGGATATGGTTTTCAGAATACAGCTGGCTGGCGTGTGCATCGGGCGGGAACAGGGTCCCATCATGCAGAATAGGCTTTGCATCAGCTTCGACCTGCAGAGTGTGAGAACCTGTTGTCCAAAATACGAGGAATGCAGCCACACCCTTTCTGTCCACCCCCTGGACGTTGCTCTGCAATCTTGCAAAGGAGATCTCATCCATCCATCTTCACAGACCGCATCGGACACGGCAACCAGTTCTACACCTCGTGCGGTGGACTCGGAGGATTATCCTCTGCATACTTGTGTCCGTCGGCAGGCGCGCAGCTGCAGGTGCAGCTGGGGCCCTCGTGCACCTTCCATGACAGCCAATGTCCATAAAGGCACGGGGCTTGCAAAGCTCTTGCGATCTTGAGCAAAGGAGAGGCACACAAGATTCAACAGGTGCTAAGCATCATGTCTAGCATGCATGCCGGTGGCGAATGTTTATGTCTCGTTAACGGGACAGGTGCCCACAGAGCGGCCCAGTCACACGCCGACCGAGCGCCGCTGTCCCCCACCCCTCAGCCCAAAACACACATAGATGACGATGCTTGGAGCGTGCCCTGGCCAGTAACCCAATCGAAAGATTGCCCATTCCAGCAGGCTGTGCACTGGCATTCAATCCCAATCAGTCCCAATCTACTGTACAGCATCATTTCAACCTGAAAGTGCCGCAGTTGCAATCTCTGTGAACACCACATAAATTCCCATCGTGCACATCATCCCGTTCGTCAACCTCATAGATTACAGGCTGAGTTTCGACCCACCCTGCCCCATGTGCTGAAGATATGTGTCTGCATGTTGCTAAGCCACCTCACCGTCTGATGACTAAGCCACAGCCACGAAACCTTCAAAACCTCTCATTTCCAATCATCAACACTCCACACATCCATGCAACAATTTACAATCACTAACAATGCCTTCACGTCCCTCCCATCTTCCTTTCGACTTCCAACCCACTGGAACAAGTCAAGGTTATACATAGGTTCACACATCTTCCCTTCGAAGTATTTCAGCACCTCTTCCCCTTTCCAGGAAGAACACCACCGAATCTGGGCCGATTTAGGCTTCCCACAGCATGCAATAGTGAGCTCGAGGTTGTCAGTCCCCACCATGAACGGTTGTCCATACAACATACCCAATCATTGTCACTACATTGCTCACTTAGCAGCATTGCTGACGGCGAACGGTTGTCCATACAACATACCCAATCATTGTCACTACATTGCTCACTTAGCAGCATTGCTGACGGCTGCAGCAACCGATGCACCTGCGTCAACAGCCGCCTCTTTAATCGCCTCTCCTGCTTCTTCCGCCTTCTCAGCCACAGTCTTTGCAGTCTCAGAAGCCACCTTCTGTGCCTCAGTCTCAGCTGCTGTGGTGGCCTCCGTGACAGCAGATTTGGCGCCCACAACCGCACCACCAACAGCCTCAGAAACTTTTTTCCCCGTGCCCTCAGCTGCCAACTTCCCCTGCTCAGACAGCTTCTGAGCTTTATCTGTCACCTTTTCCGAAGCACCGGCCATCACTCTCTCTTCCTCCTTCACTGCACTTGCCGCTGCGTCCTCTGCCTCTTCCTTTGTCTCTGCAAGTTTCTCTTCCACAGCCTTCTTCCTCAAGGAAAAGCTCCTCTTTGTTCTGCTCCAGAAGCCCTCTTTGGCTTTGGTGGGCGGCTGCACAACCTCGGCCTTTGGTGGGCCCTGCTTGGGCTCTCCAGTGGCCGCCTCAGCAGTGGTCGCTTCAACAGTGGCTGCCTCTTCTTCCGTAGCCTCTTTCTTGGCTTCCGTTGTCTCCTCCTCTGCCTCAGCTGCAGGTGTATCAGTAGTGCACTTCTCATCCCTTGTTTCCTCCTTTGGCTCCTCCACAGCAGCCTCTGAGGTAGTGGGTGCCTCCAAGTTTGGCATATCTGACTTGCCAGTGAAGTGCACTGACAGGCTTCGACGAGTCCTTTTCCAAAAGCCCTCTTTCTTCACTGCTGTCCTGGGAGTTTCTAAAACAGCTGCGGCTGCCTTTGATGCCTCCTCGGCAGTATCCTTCACCTCTTCCACTGCCTCCTTGGCAGCATCCTCAGTTGCAGCCTTTGGGGCCTCGCAGGCACCCTCGACAGTTGTGGCGACCTCTGCCACAGCCTCCTTGATGGGCTTCACCATACCGTCTGACGTCTCAGGCTCTGGTTCGCAGACCATCGCTTCCGATTTTCTCCTCAAGTGCCCAGTGAAGCTTTTTTTCGTCCTAGTCCAGAAGCCCTCCTTTTTGGTTTCCACGTTGGGAGGTTCCTCATCCTTTGGGGGCTCCGCTGTGGCATCTTTGCACTCTTCCTCAGGGGGATCGCCGGTGTCCTCTTCCTCAGCTTCAATTTTTGTATGTTCTTCCCTGGCAGCCTCCTTTGGCGTCTCTTCAGGCTTTTCACAAGCCTTTTCTTCCTCCTTAGTTTCCTCCTTTGCCTCTTCAGCCGGTGGCTCTGGCTGGTCCGTCACAGGGGAAGTTTTCTTACCCTTCTTCTTGGTGACCTTGTTCCAGAAGCCAAGGACTGCAGAAAAACGCCAACAATCTGGATTATTTCCGGGCATGACAGCGCCTTGCATCTTTGTGAGGCAAACTCAAGAGCCATAATGGATAGATCTGCAATGGCCACATCAGAGTGCCACACACGTCAATACAGAGCCAGTATGTTCCCTCAGTTCATGTCCCCCACCACTTCCCGCCCGCTTAGCCACGCGCCCCGTCTGTCATACGATTCACTTGTTCCCTTGCGCACATGATATAGCTGTGCTACGTTCTTGACAAATAGCCGCGTGAGTCAAAGCTTGACGGTGCGACTAACGAATCCGCGGCCTACAACCCACACCGGATATCACCCATCGATGTTGCCATCCCTTGTCATGGGGCGAGAAGCTTTCGGGGAGGGCAGACTCACGTCGTTTTTTTGGGCCATCCTTGCTCGGCGCCTTGACTTCTTCAACAACGGCCTTCGCCGCCTCTGTTGCGCCAGCGGCCGCCTCTGCGGCGGCGCCTTTGGCGACAGCCGCCACCTCCGTCGCCTCCGCCTTCACAGCATCAGCAACCTCCCCCGCCGGGGCCTCCACCTGGGCCTTCGCAGACTCACAACCCTCCCCGGCGGCGCCCTGCACTTTTGGGACAGCCTCCTCGACTTGAGCGGCAACCTAAACGTAGAAAAGCAGCACACTCAAGACAACCCATACCGCACCAAATCCAACTTCGGTGCGCAGAGCCATCCGCGCTGCTTCTTGAAATTGCAAGTAGGCTGTTTGAAAGAGTCTTTCGACGCACGTATTCGAGACTGCAGGGCAGCGTCCGGGCGCCGGCCGCGTGGCCGTACGCACACCGCCGTGATGCGGCACCCCTGAGATCCCAGAAAACGCCGGGCACTTGAGCCAAATGAGCAGTCATGTGCGGCATCCAAACAGTAGGTACCATGCCACGCTGTCCCCCGCACAGGATCGCGATATCGTCGCCCGCTGTGAGAAGGTGTCGGTGAGGTCGAGAGCGCTGGAGACAGTCAGCCGTGCCCGGAGTGAGGCCCTTTGGGGCATGCACCGCAGTCGAAGGGGAAGAGGCCAAAACATACTGGCATGACCGGCGGAGCCGCGCGAATAAAGGGAACCCCAAATTCTCATCTGTGCCAGGCCGAGCTGAGCATGCTGATATCGACTTCTCGCAGCGGTGCGCCGAGCCCGGCCTCCATACCGTCCGTCTCCTATCGAACCTCCCGTTCCTAAAACAGGTCCGGAAGGCCTTCGGGCGCTGAACAGGCCGCGCGCCGCCGGCGCCACTGCCGCGAGGCCGGATTCCAAGAGAAGAGGCAAAAGCGTGCGTCCCCTGCACTCTGTACGGTTCGCCGCGCGCCCCGCGGCGCCGCGGCACCGCACCGCAGGCATCCACAGCGAGAAATCCCAACGCGAGAGGCCGCGAACACCGCGCCCCGATTTCTAGGGCCTGTATGGTCCAGGCGCGCCCTCCGAAAGATGCCGCGAAAAGCGGAGGCCTCCGCGGCTGGGCGCGCCAGCCCCAACGCCCTGGCGACCGCCCGGCGCCACCCGGAAGCTCATCGCGTTCCCGCCCGCCGACGCCACCCGCGCGGCACTCGCCCCGGTCCGCTCACATCTTTCGCCGCCTCCGCCATCTGGCGCTCCCCGCGGCTCGCCCTCCGGCGCCTCCGCTGCAGCCTGCCGCGGTCACCAGGCGACAGGAGCGCTCCGCACGGGGAGGGCGCCCAGGGCGGGAATTGGGGCCAGCAGCACAGGGCAGGATACTGTGCTCGACGGGCCCCTGTCTTCTCAGTTATCTAAGGACCCGGATTTGGATGACTCCGGTGACACGTACCTCTTGCAACGGTCGCTAGCGTAACTACTGGTGGTGCGTCACCGACGCCAGGGTGCCGTACGTGATGCGTTAATGGAACCCAAGTACGGGCCGTTGCGGCGGTCTCCCGGCGAACAAGGGGGACAAAGGAGGTCCCAAGGGAAGTGCGGGAGGGCGAAGTGTTTGTTGCGGCGTGCGTTGGGCGGAGGTGGCGGTGTCGAGGGCCGAGGCCGCCGTTGAGCGCAGCGAGCAGGGCGTCGGGAAGGGGGAAAGCGCGCAACATTACGATGGATCCTGTGCGTTAGTCGATCGATCTGCACGGTGGGACACGATCCGAGTGATGGACTGAAGCGGCGACGTGCGCGTGTTTCGTATTCGAGGACCACTGGGGGGAGCCAACTCGCGGATGGTCTTGGCAATCTCGGGGGGGGGGGACAACTGGGCTGGGAGGCGGGATATGTCACACCATCCGGAGGATCGGATCGGTCTTACGCAGATTCCCGAGCCCGGTTACTACAGCGCATTGGCGTAGTGGATCATGTGCGCAGGAAGAACACTTCACAACTGTCGTTGGGAACATTCATCAGGATTGTCGTGGAGACGAAATCTGGGGACCAGCCTGTGATCCTCGGGTGTCTCAATCCAGTTTTCCACATCGCGAGTGGCGATTCGCCACGTGGAGCTGTCGGTGGCCATCCGCGACGGGTGGGGACGTTGCCAGGGGAGTATAGCCAGGACCAGTCGTGGTACCATCGGGCCTGTCAGGACGCAACAACGACCCCCTGCCCCCAAGGCCTATGCCCGTGCTGTACTACAGTAGGTGTCGACGGTGACGGAAGCCCGCCACCGATCGAGCTTTTGGCTCGTGGCTGCAAAGCGATCCATGTATGTGCAGGATGTCTCCCCACCCAGTCCTCGCTGTGGGCGGCTACTACATTAATGCTTCACTGACCGCTGCAAAAGACGGCGGTCCATTCTGGCGGTCATCCCCGGAGATAGCGCAGTCTAATCACCCCTGAACGAGCAGCTGAGCCACGTCGACAGCTTCATCACCACGCCAGTTGAGGGTGCATTCAACGAACAAGCTTTGCCCCTCGTGCGAACTGGCTCTTCATGAAGAACTGCTTGTCGCGGCGATAACAACGAACAGAAATAGCAACGGCGGGAGGGGAAGCTTCAGACGAACGGCAAACATCCAACCGAATGCCAAGCGTGGAACCTCTCACAACTGCACGCCAGAGGGCCACAACCGGTCGCAGCCACTCCCAAAGTTCAGCGAGGTCAGGGCACAGGTCAGCCCCACGGGTTGGGACAGCCTTGTTCGCAATGTGGCGACACGATACACGAAAGATGCTTCTTTCCGCCTCACCGAAGCTGTGCAGCGACGAAGGGTGGTCACTGTTAACCAGCAACACGAGCACGCTGGCAGTGCTGGTCTTGAGCAGCAAGGAAAGCGGCCCAGAAAAGGCACAGACTGGCCGCGACCTTCGAAAAGGTCGAGCGCTATTGCGCTCAGGCTGTGGCGAACGTTGCGTGCACAGCCAGGGGAGTCAGGCAGCCAGGCCGAGCGCCTAGACTGCCGCGCGAGACACACACGGACCCCACGCAGTCGTTCTTACAGCTGCCATGCCGAGTGCAACAATGGAGAGTCCCCCAGCTTTCGCCGCGTCCCCAGTACTTGTAACACCCCAAGCTCTGGCGAATACCCCGCATTCCTAAGAGATGATCTTTTGATACCCGCAATCTTTCTGCCACGCCTGTCGTTTCACTGCAACTCAACCTGGTACACCCCACTGCCCGCAATCAGCCACCATGATGCCCCAAGGGCCACATTCCCATCAGACAACCACACTCCCCGCGGTGAGCAAACACGTAATGCCCCACGGGGCATATTCCCATCAAACAACCACGTGGCACCTCCACGCGCTCCTCCCGACCCTGTCCCACAACGCACTATGGCAGGTCACACAGGGGCCAACACCGGTCCATCCAAAACGGCTCCATCGCACATGAAATGCTATATCTTGCTCACTAAAGATCCGTTTGAGGTGAAATCTTTTGCAAACATTCCTTTAACAAGTTTGCCTTGCAACTGATTGATCCTTTCAAATCCAGATTCGATCAGCTTTCACAAGCCCGTTTCTGACTGATGGCACCCAGCCTTCCGTGACAGTCCATCTTGCTCTGAGTTAGGGGCACACTTCTGAGCAGCTTGCATGCCACAGGACGCCAGAATTCTCCAGCACCATGCCAGGATTACAAATCCAGCTGCAGTACATTGCATGCTTCTCGTACCAGCCCTGCGACCTCCCGTTCCGCACATCCACGGCGCCCACGCTCGTTCGAACTCACGGCGCTCCGCCACACAGCCGACCACGTAGGTTGGAAGGTCTGCCCGTTCGCCAGAAAATCCCCCAACAACTTCAACCTCGATCCGTTTCAATCGGCGATTTGGCCGTGTGCCTGCCATCCCCCATCGGCAGCACCATGGCCAGCCACGCCCGTCCCGGCTCGATCAACGGGCATTGCTCGGAAAGACCGACGCAGCCCGACTCGGCAGGCCTTTCTACGACCAATGCGCCCTGCCATGCACGGCTGTATACCTTGCCAAGGCAAACGCACGTGCCCAACAGCGGCCTGCGTGCTTTTCAGTACTTCACGGTGTTTTCCAAACGTGTCTGACACCCGGTGTCACCGGTCCGGTGTGCCCTTGACGTGCGCTGCCATGTACTGGAGCTGCGTCCGGCATCACAACTGTATTGCTTTTGGTTTTTTGGGCATGTAGTGAGGCTTCCATGGTCTCTCTTTGTCACTCAAGTCATCTCTTTGCATTCTGAGTGCCTTGGGATTGGATTGCGAGAAAATTATAGAGCACCCCTGATTGACGTTTTGGGGTTTCTGCCTTATTGAGCGCCAACCTACTGGATGATCAGCAGAATGGCGAAGGTGCTAAGGCTGTCAACATCCCCTCTGCACCATATCTGGACCTCACGGGTTGCCAGCTGAACGATATCATTAATTTACCAACTTCTCGATGAGCCCTATTAATTGGCGACCCGAACACCGCCCAGTACATGTTGCATACCCAGCAGCGGACCCTCCCTCTCTCAGCACACGAGTTGGGACTGTTTGGTATACATCAACACTTCCCTACACATTCGCTCCCCGTCCCCATCCTCCTACCCTCCTTCCGCCGCCGATTGTAGCCCCAGCCCTTGGGCTACAATCAGGCTTGTTATTCACCCCAGAAAAACTTATCGTAATTACATTTTGAGGTGCAAAAAGACGTAAAAATTACGTAAATGCAGTGTAAAATAGCTCGGTGTACATAAAGACAGTACATACAGACCTGTGGAGTCCAGGCAGTAGAAGGCAGATGCGATGGAGTGTGCAGAAAACGAACTTTTGCTCGACGACGTCATTGCCCTTGCCGTGGGCGAGGTGGACGCTATGTTATGTATGCTTGAGGAGGCGGAGGACTGATCATTTTACATGACTTCCATTGTGTAAAGTGGTGTCCGGAAAAACGTAAATACAGCTTTAGAATTTGCCTCTTCGAAAAGTCATTTTCCAAGCGTAAAAACGTAAAACCGAAAACGTAAAACGAACGTAAGTAACAAGACTGGGTACAATGGGCATTTCTGTCCCACGGGATCCCTTGTCCGCCTGAATCAGAGAATTCCCAAATCAATTACAAATTCTCATGTTGGTGTGCATCAACATTCCGTTTCCAGCTTCCCCATGATCGTCAATGTAGGTTTTCTGTATGCTTTGAGCATTGAACTCTGGTCCAAACATACAAGTTTATCCAAATTCGAATTTCTGCTTTGAGGGCTGAAATAGAGGCAGCACGCAAGCTCAAATGGTCGCGGTCTCGTCATTGTTGGCAAAGCCCGACAAGATTACTCTTTGGGAACCAATTATTTCCTCCTCTTAATATGTGCCCAGAGGGTATCTATCCTTAGCCCAAATTCAAACTTAATTTGTGGACCAACAGGACCAAGATTCCCAGGGTGTCGACATCCAGAAGCATAGGTGATGGTTGTCCTCCAAGGAAAGTCTTCCAAAGAAAGTGGCGCCTCGCCAATGGACTCCACTTCTCTCCAAACAGAAATTGAGTAGCTGAGTGTAAACCTCATGTCCACCCAGCACCGCCAACATCTTATGAGTGGCAATGACCTTGACTTGAATTTCTGGAACATCAACTCAAGCCAATGTCAAGATATTGGCGATTAGGTGAATGCATCAATTCATGGCCCGATTGCATCAATGGCAATAGGCAGTATTATTTTAGATTTGCGATGATGCGCAAGGCTTGCAAGCCAATTGGAGGAACAGCGACTGGTAGTGCATCAACAAATTCTGTGCAAAAATGGCTACCGTTGTTGCCTCAGTGCCCTCCTTATTTCTTGATGCACGTCTAGCGTGTGTACATACTCTCAGGCATACCGCGGGACATGAGCTTGCGTGGGGCATGCCACGTTCCAACGACGTGCTGTACCTTCATGGGCATATCTGCTTAAGATCTTGGATGAGGGCCGATTCTCCAAAGTGAGCACTCTTCGGAAGTATTCATCACCATTAAGATATCAAACGTTGTCTCCATGTTCGTTTGTGAAAATAGGACGGTATTGGGTAATTTTTGGCACCGATGCGGGTGGAATGTTCTCATGTATTTAGTTGAACGTGAGCTGATACTTTTTGTGTCATGATTCAGGACGTTTCGTGTGCATCCCATTACATGCTATCATGCTTGGGTTTTACGTCTACGTTTACGTTTTTACGTTTATGTTTCTTATGCGCAAAAACCTAAATTTGCAA